CAGGTATTTTTTTTACATAAATTAAATATACATGATATTACAATTATATAAATATTTCAAGTTCAATTTAAGTGCCAGATGCATTAGGGAATGCCTATTTTTATAAAAGAAAATTCTGATGTTATAAGCATTATGGAGGTCTTGTTAAAAGAAGAAATTCAACTGAGTACTAATAAAAATACCTAATTTATACAAGTAAGACTGGTTTACATGTACTTATTGTGCATATTAGCTCGTACTAATTCTAAAGACAGCATAGCAGCAAAAAGAAAACAGCAGCAAAATGTACTGCAGAATTTCAATGGCTGTCATTCCATGCTGAAAGGAACAGGATGCTGTTACTGCTATGCTATCTATCACCTAGACTGAATCTAGAGTGAATCACACTCACCCTAGAATCATAGAACTATAGAATCATTAAGGTTGGAAGGGACCTCTAGAGATCATTCAGTCCAACCCCCCTGCACACGCAGGGTCACCTAGAGCACGTGGCACAGGACTGCATACGAGCAGGTTTTGAAGATCTCCAGAGAGGGAGATTCCATAGCCTCTCTGGGCAACCTGTTCCAGTGCTCCGTCACCCTCACTGTTAAGAAATTTTCCTTATGGCAAATGGCACTGTGTCTAGCCGATCTACATCTGGACTAGTACAGCTTTTCCTAGCTGGGGTGAGCAACTTCTGGTCTTTGAGCAGGGTCCAACAGCTGACTCATCCTACACAACTCTGTCTTGTCATCTCCAGTGTCTCTGCCTTTTACCTCTTCCAGCTCTCTCCAACCACAGAATGCTGTAAATGAAATCCTGGGGAAGATCAGAGAGCTTTTAAGGGCAGGCAAATAATAATAATAGAACAGTCCAATGTCTCTATGAGCTGCGATGCAGGCAATGTCCAAATTAATAGCCTAAAACAGGCCAAGGCAACAGCTTGAACCCTAGCATAAGATTATAGACACTGACCTGTGGTTAGAAAACTCTTTGATACATTTTTTATTTGTGTCAATTAGCAAGCCAGGGACTGTTTCCAATAGGCAGTATGGAAAAGGTCACCTTATACTAGTGGGGAAAAGAGCTTGGATAAATGGACATTCCACAACTGCACCATGTCATTTGCCCTTACAACCAGAAATGCACCTTGGTCCACTTTACAGATGGAGTCACAAATACTACAATTTTCACCACTACAAATGGTTGCTTCTTGGAGCTGCTTTGTTAAAGAACTCACAAGAAAAGAAACAACCTACTAGATAGTATGCAGGATCTGGTACCAGTTGAAACAGTACAAAACACACTAAAATGTAATAAGAATAAAAATAAATAAATAAAAAGACAAGTTTATAACAATAATATTTAAGGGGTTCACATAAAAATAAGGAGACTGGCAAAATATAAGCCCCAAAAAGCTTCTAAAAGGGTTAAATATTTGCAAGCACAAAGAAACTCTTTAAAAAATCATCTTCAAAACTCAAAAGTAAACTCAACCTTTTTACAAGTCTTCCATGCTTTAAAGATAGGGCTATTATAACCTTAATGTTTAAAAAAGGCAAGTAAAGAAAGATATGTAAAGGAAAATAATATCTTTTTCTTTTTTTTCCAACTAAATCTTTTGATTTAATAAAACATAACTTTCTTTATAAGTCATGCATAATTTACATGCTTATGCAATTCTTTTCCTATTCTAAAAGCTGTAGGGGAACTTAAATATGCATTTGTTGAAAAAATAAATGTAGATAATCAAAGACTTTAATAAGTTTCAGCATCAGAGAAAAGGAAGTGTCATATGAGGTTTTTTTTGGAGACAGACTCTGAGAAGAATCCAAGGAACTACTTAGCAATCAGGCTGACTTTTGCACACGGTGAGAGATATAAATTATAGTGAAAAATAGATGTAGAGTAGATAGAAATGTTCTGGGGAAGAGCTAAAGACATTTTTAGAGGGTAGTCATCTAGTCACTGGTAGAGTTCTAAGAAGTCTGTGAGAAAACAAACACAATCATTTAATATATTATACCTGGATTTCTAAAAAGCATAATATAGACCCTCAGAAAGTGCTGTTGAAGAAACTAATGAATAAAAAGAAGGCTCTTGCATAGATTAGGGTTAATTACAATAAAAGAAATGAGAGAAGGGTTCATATTGAGAAATGTTATCAAAGAGGTCTTCCAGGAACTTATAAATTCATATGGGGGAATGTTATCAATGAGGTCTTCCAGGAATTTATAATTTTTAGCATAAGTTTTAACAGAATGAGCTGCAAAACATAAGTGAGCTGGAAGAGAAGGTACGTAGGGGTCACAAAGCTTGTGATGATATCCAATCATTTAGGTCATTCAAATGAATTTACATTTGAAAGCATTGAATTATTGGATATAAACACTGAATTATTAGGTATAAATGGTATAAGAAATCCAGTGTTAATAAATCTGTAGTCATTCACGCGATGTAAAAGTAATACCAGCTGTACGAGAAGAATAAAGATCCTGTGACAGCAGAAAAATAATAACAGAAATGGGAGAGTACAATTATTGTAGCCTGAGTAGCTAATGTGTTTCTTGAATACCATATTCGGTTCTTGTTATCTCATCTCTGAAATAATATTGCAGAAATAAAGGTACAGAAAGGAAACTAATATTATCAGAAATATGGGCTCCATAAGAAAAAAGACTAATTAGACCGGATTATTACCTGTCCTCTCTGCTTTCTCTCACTCCACCTTATGCATTCTCAGATTTTCTTTCAATAACATAACTTCACCATGATTTCCTGCAGTCTACTTTATGTCTCTCAGCACGTCTCCTTCTTCCCCTCACAGAATATTCCAAAATATATCTGTTGTACCGTAACATTATGACAGGTTTTCTGAGCCTTTTTTCCTCTTATTGTCTTATCCTTCTATTACTGTCTGTTATGTTGCATTTTAGACAACATCTATGTAGAGTTCTTGAAGACTTTTGATCTGTTTCACACATACACACCACAAACAAAAAAATAAATGTTCTTAGGAAAGTAAAAATTTTCTTTCCAAAGTTTCCAAAAGGCCTTAATCTGGTAACATTTCATGCTATGAAGTCCTCTCTTCCTGCCATGAATTTTGCCACAAGCACTTTAGTATTAGGGTAGCATGAAAGAGATCTAGCACATTTTTTGCCAGGACCAGAAGAAGGCTAAAATGCTCATTGCGGATGAGTGAGAATGTTTGACAAACACCACTTCTCTCAAAATGGTGGCATTTGGATTGTCTTTCCTGCCAGATTTGTGAAGGCTGTTGAGAAGGAGATTGATTGAAGTCATTCACCATGTTAAACAGGAAGCTGGAAAAGGGAGTTGTTTTTTTTTTTTTTTTTTGCTGCGTGGAAGGAATGATGGGGTGAATTTTCATGAAATAGTTGAAGTCTCGGTGGTCTTGGCATTCATTAATATTTTCTGCTTTAATGGATTTCTGTGACCCTTGATGATTGTTGCCAAGGAAAATAATCATCTGATTTCAGGCTTTTAAAAAGACGAATAGCCTGCATTTTTTTTACATTCTGTTCTCTGCCAGAGATGGATACATCATCAGATACAAGTTTCCCAGGTGATGTCCTGCCCTCAGGTTTCTTGACTTGGGGATCTTCCTGGCTTATACACATCTTTTCACTGTGTTTTAGGCTGGGGAAGCAGTAGTCACCAATCTCACAAAGGAAAACTGGCTCAGTGCTATCAGGGTTTAAGACCACCAAATTACTCCCTGACAATGATTGCTCTTTGGGAAAATTATTTCCCTTTGGTAAGACTGGTAAGGAAATATTTGTGGATTCTGAAGTTCCATGAGGACATGGAGGGACAGTAAGATAGTCCCCAAATGCATCCAGGTGCAATTCTGGAGAAGGGTTTGGTGTTGGAGCTGAAACTGCAACCACGACACCAGATTTCCCAGGAGAAAACTCAGAGCAAGAGCAGTCCTCAGGGCGCTGGATCTCCTGTGGGTCAGAAGCTAGCTCTGCATCAGCGGTGAGTGCCAGATGGTTGGAGTCTTGGGCTGATGGCAGTAAGAGGCCATCTGTGGTGATGTAGTCCAAGGAGCACTGCTGGGGAGAGCCAGTACAGCTAAGAGCCACTGGAGATTCCTGCCCTTCTGCTCCCACATGCGTGCATTCCCCGTGGTCTGGTTGCGCTGGTGAAATTTCCTCCCCATTGCTGAGGTGCTGCGTCATTTCCTTCTGGTGTGGGAGCATGGAGGGCTGCAGAGGAAGTACTCCTGGCTGTGCTTGCCTCTGTGGAGCCTGGGGACAGGCTTCCTTTGGGAGGATGACATACTGAAGGGACCCTGATTTCCCATGGAGTCCTGCTGGGACTGCTTGAAGGGCCTGATGCATATCAGGCTGGGAGGAGATCATTGGGCTGTACAAGTCCGGCCCATTGAAATCAAAGCGAGTGAATGCTGTCTGGGAAGTAATGCTTGCATCAGCACTGTTCTCCCTTGAAAAAGGAAAGGAAGGATAAGCCATCTCATTTGATGGACAGTCAGCTGGCACATGGTCTGGAACATCTAAAGCACGATATAGGTTCTGTGGATCCAACGCAATCAGAGAAACCTCTGCCTTTTCAGCTTGCCATTCGGAGGACTCTGTCAAAGTATTTTTCTGCCTGAATGTGGGAAAAGTAAAAGCTGCTATTGAGAAATATTCTTGTGATGAACATTACACATAAAAAGAAGCTACAAAGAAGACTAGAAGGTAATCTTCATGGAGAAAGAAGATTAAGCCAGATAACAAGAAAGTAAGCCAAAAAAAAAAAAAAAAAAAGGGCTCATTCTCAGAAGCAATTGCCCCAGGCGTTTTTGGTGACAGAACAACAGGACATCTCACAGTGTCTCTATAAAGTGTTGTTCACTAACCTGTCCTCAACCTGAAGGAAACTAGCCTGGTCCATCTTCTCAGAAAAGCTGTGTTTGTTGAAGTCTACCTGACTGTTTGTCAGCCAGTTTCCCAGGTGTACTTTCTGAAAATAAGAAAAAGTAGAGATGAGGAAAGACAGTTTTCTCACTGGTAGTAGAATCAAGAGCCTTATGGGCAAAGGGGAGCCTACAACAACTGCTGATCTGTATACAACTTCACTAATATTACTAGAAGGTTACTGCTATTCTCTAGAAGACTGTTCCTTCACATACGTGTTTCCATATCCCTGACCTAACTTTACATAGTATATAAGGCAGGAGCTGCTTCTCTAAAGAACTGATAAGGATGTTGCAGGTCCTACCTAAAAATAAAGCTATTGCCTTGTGCATTGCCTACTCTTCTCCATAACAACTTGATGACCCTCTGGGCAATATGTCACTTGCAGTTGTATTATGACTGTCCTTCTATAACAGGTGAGCAGAGAAACAGAGTGAGTGGGATGTTAACAAAGCTTAGGATAAGGTAACTCACTGAAAGTAGGGAAACTTTCAAAATGATTAAGAGTAGTCAGTAATGAGGAAAGAATTAGCTAGGAAGCAAAGCTATAGAGGTACTTCTTAGAGTGGGAAGAAGATTTCAATTTTTACTACAGAAAAAAGCAAAATGATCTAACTTGAGACTTTAGTATAAGCAGAAATATTCTGTTGTCTGGCACAGGAGAATTCCATCCTTAGTTTTTCCTGTCTATTTGACAATGATGCGTAAAATTACATCAGTACTGTAAGTCCTTTTTACAGCAAAACAACAAATGTGACATGCTTAAAAAACAACTACTGTCTTTCACTCAGACATAAACATACTGCAAGTGTCCATTTGCCTTAAACAAAGGCCATGTTATAAATCATGCAAACTGCATTGCCATGTAACTAAACACACTGTAACACATTCCCTGTGTGCTTGGAATAAAATAAACGTAAATCAAAACATGTGTGTTGGGGAAAACAGATATTATAAAATCTGTGGTATAATTCTTGCAAAATTAGAAGAGTTTTATTGCAAAAATCTAGAGAGATGCCTATTATATATTTCCCAGATGTTGGTTTGGAGGATTTTTCCTACTTAAACTGCCTTAATTGAATGCTATTTAAGTGTGCACTTTGCTTTCCAATTACATATTGTTGTCTTGGCAACAGACAACATTACATTTTTTTTTTTTTCAGAAAATCCTGTAGCTTAAAAAATGGAATTTTCTCAAATGAGTCTGAAACCTATCCTAAAAAAATTTGAATTGGCATTCATTAAGGTTTGGAGAAGACAGAATCACAGAATCATTGAGATTGGAAGGGATCTCTGGAGATTACCTAGTTCAACCTCTCTAGTCAAGAAGGGTCATTTAGAGCACATTCCCCAGGATTGTGTCCAGATGGGTTTTGAATATGTCTAGAGAAGCAGACTCCACAGTCTCCATGGGCAACATGTTCCAGTGCCCTGTCACCCTCACAGTCAAGAATTTTTTCCTCAAGTTCAGATAGAACTTCCTGAAATTCCATTTGTGGCCATTGCCTCTTGTTCTATCACTGAAAAGTAGTCCTACCACTGAAAATAGTCAGGCCCCATCCTCCTGACACCCTCTCTTAAGGTATTTAGGAAAACTGATAAGATCTCCCCTCTGCCTTCTCTTCCTTAGGCTAGACAGTTCCAGCTCTCTCAGGCTCGCTACGTAAGAGAGATTTTCCAGGCCCCTGATCATCTTTGTAGCCCTGCACTGGACTCTTTCCAGTAGTTCCATATCTCTCGTGTACTGGGAAGCCCAGAACTGAACACAGTGCTCCAGATATAGCCTCACCAGAGCTGAGTAGAGGGGCAGGATCACCTCCCTCAAACTGCTTTCAACAGTCTTCCTAATGCAACCTAGGATACAATAGGCCTTCTTGGCTACAATGGCAATTTCTCTGCTCATGGTTACCTTGTTGTCCACCAGGACTCCCAGATACTTCTCCACAGAGCTGCTTTCCAGCAGGTCAGCCCCCAGGCTGTACTTGCGCACAGGTGCAAGACTCTGTACTTGTCTTTGTTAATCTTCATGAGGTTCCTTTCCACCCAACTCTCCAGCCTGTCAAGGTCTCTCTGAATAGCAGCATGGCCTACTAGACACTCCTCCCAGGTTTGTATCATAAAACGTGATGAGGATGCACCTTGTCCCTCTATTCAGCTCATTGATGAGTCAGTTGAAAAAGACTGGATCCAGTATGGATTCCTGGGGGACACCACTACAGGCCTCCAACCAGAGTCTGTGCTGCTGATCACAACGCTCTGAGCTCGGCCATTCAGCCAGCTCTCAGGCCGCCTCACTGTCCACTCATCTAGCCCTCACTTCCTCAGCTTGCCTTTTCTCTTCACTCTGAAACAACTCCATAGCAATCTTCTCCAAGTGGACCCTGCAAAACACAATTCCCTATTACCTGCAAGTAACTCTGGATCAGGAGACTCTTGCTGGGGTTTGGAATGCTTTCCTCCCAGTTTTTCTTCTTCCTGCAACAACAACAGCACCACATTTACAAGATTTGCCTCTTGCCTTGCCTGCAAAGAGAATAGACTAGGCCTTACACATACAGTGCTGCTCTGCACAGCAAGGCACCACCAAGGCCCTGAAGCACCACGACTCAGCTCTCACCTGCATGCAGACATGCGCAGGGACCCCCATTGTACACTGAGGTTCACCCCCTACATGGATTACTCTTTCATGTGGCATGAGCACCACCTCAGCCACAGTTTTTCACCTTTTATTCCATTCACACTGACGACAAGTTGCTAAATCTCCTAGACACAGGGGAAACCTACCTGAGGAAATACTTATAGCTGCAATGAGCAACTATTATCAAAGCGATGATGATGGCTGGTAGCATCACGGGGAGAACCACTGGTGACAGAACTGAAACAGAGAAAAGAGAAATGGGGAGCTACTCACACCATACCAGCTGCTTCCGTACCAGGTTTTTTGTTCTGGTCACTCATCGTGCAACAAGATCAGGGGGAGCAGATGTCACATTCCATGATACGACAAAGTCTTCTAACTACTGGGACATGCTCCAAAGTGGGAGAGACCAAACAAATATGACTGTTTTGACACTGAACAGCATCTGCGCTGGCCACAGAGTGATCAGTTTATGCTCATGAAAAGCTGAGTGGGTACATTGCCCCACCAGGAACACTGTGTGTGTCTTCAGGCATCTTAGGCCTGACCTACTCCGTCTCCTACTCCACAATGAGAATATGCCTTTGTTTCTCTATCCCCTATTTCTAGGATAGGTCCAGGTTGTGCCAGATATCACTGCTGGAGCTACCTTTAGGCCCAGCTAGGAGAGGGTATTTCTCTAGAAGCAGATATAGAAGCTCTTCCCCATTAACATTTCACAACGACTTATAGAAGCAGCCAAAGCAAAAGGTACTATTCTCAGTTTCCCATGTAAACTCCTCACTCCATTCACTCCAAGGTCCATGGTATCCATCACTATTCACCCTTGTGCGCATTCTCCCCCTGTATTTTGTAGATGATTCCAGCATCTGGAGGGTGAAGATGAAGGGAGGCTCATCGTTGACGATATCGATCGTCTGGAGATTCTGGGGGATGAAAGAAGTACACATGAAGAGGGGAGGGGAATAATCTTTCCCATTCAACCTGCAAACAGAAATCCAGGAATGGCATGCTTCCAACAACTTACCTCTTTGTAT